TAATAATATATATATATATTATTATTTAAAATTTTCGTTCTAATTCTATTTATTATCTCTTTCTATAATATTATCTAAAAAATACAAACTCCAAAACGATTTTTCTAGATCATTTTTCCTGGAGTGAAAAAGCTGTCTTTTTAATGCTGGAAGAGTACAAAAAAAGGGCTGAACGCTTTAGAAATCCTGAAAACAAGAAAAAGCAACTTTGGCAAGAAATATCTGACGAGATGACAAAATATGGATATAAAGTTAACGCAGATGCAATAAACAAAAAGTTTAGGAATTTGAAGATAAGATATCTGATTATAAAGAATAGCGATAAAAAGAAAACGTCAAGGTCTGGTAGAATGTCTTGGATTTATTTTGACATTATGTCCGAAATTGTTTTTGATGATAGGACAGTAAATCCAAACTTAGCAATGGCATCAGCTGTATTTTTTAATAATGATAATGATAATGATGATAATAATGATAATACTCAGAATGAAATTGAAAAGATTGCTAGATTTGAAAATTCTATTCTTTCTAAGAATTTAAGTGATCGAGAAATCGAAAATGTTTTATCTACTAGTTCAATTATCAGTATATCAAGTATTTTAAAAAAAAATGTACAAAATAAAAAATTTAGAAAGAGAAATAAGCCTATAGATAATTATAGAAAAAGATATATGGAAATAGAAGAAGAACGAATTAAGGAATTAAGAAAGATAAGAGAAGCTATAGAAAAAAATAACATAATACAAAAAGAAAGAGTAGAGATATTAAAACAATACTTATTAATTCAACGAGGAAATCTCAATAACATTTTTTATTATTGCTCTTAATACTTTTTGCACGATAACAATTCGCGATCGAAGTTTTAGTTCCAAAGATCTAATTAAATACAGTAGTGAATCTAAAAAAATTTCCATATTTTGTTAAAAAAAAATATTCTAAAATATTTTAAGTATTTACTTGGGTAATAGAGTTTATCATTACAATGTGTTTTCATGATAGCTAGTCAATTATGAAGGAATTTTGTTTTATAAGAAAAATTTATTTTATTTTTTATAAATCTTGATAAATACATATTTCTTTGAGTATTAAATGATTAGATGTATAATTAAAAATACAAAAAAATTTACATCAACATACAGTTGTTGCAGAAACTGAAAAATATTAGTTTATAAGAATTTTAAAGATTGTTACATTTATTTTTTTATTTTATAACATCTGTAGCTGTTTTTTTTATTTTTCATAAAGCATATAGAATAGTCGCTTAATTTCTAGTAACTACTGTATTTATATTTTGGAAAATGTTTTCTATCTAATTTTTTTTGCTTTATTTTATTTAAAGAAATAAAGCAATTAAATTTTATATTTTATTAAAAAATTATCTAAACATTTATAGTTAACTTTAATGTAATATTGAGATTATATAATTTTTTTCCATTGCAATCTTATATCTCAAAAATTTGCAAATTAATTCATTATCTTGATTTTCAATTTATTAATATTAATAGAAATCTATGATTAATTCTAAAATATGTAATTTATTTGTATTCCAATTTACTTCAAAATTGTATTAAAGAATTCTCTGATTTTCTCTTGAATAAAGATACCTGGAAAAGCTTGAAATTCCCAGAGAATTTACAAAATTTTAAGTACCCTAATATTATGATATATAATATTGTGATATATAATAAATAGTAATTAAAATACAAATGTATTGATTTTCGTGTTAAAGAAAAATTATGACAGCAATTTTTTTTATTTTGTACACGTCTTTAATAGTTTCAATAGAATTTATTATTGTAAAATTTATCTGTTATTAAAAATATAGATAATATTAAATTAAAAATATAGATAATATTAAATCAAAAATATAATATTGAAGCGATTTAGGATATTTTTTTAGAACGAGCATTCATTTACATTTTTTTTTTAATGAAAAATTAATGAATTTACATTTATTTTAATACAATACGATAGAAAACGTCAGAAACGGTCAAATAAATCTTTTGTATCTTTAAATGTCGCGGTCGATTTCGCCATGTTCTTTGACCAATTCGTTAAGAGTCTAAAATTTCGGCGAGACTTGTATATCTGTATATGCCAACTATTCAATGGACGAACAGAATTGGCAACAAGTATACTGAATTCAAGTTTACGAGACGTTTGTTCAGTTTATTCGTAATTGATCGTGATTCGTTTTATATTACTGTCAATTACTGCGACATTTTCTTAAATAAGACAACTATAAAGCTACTTCAAAATGGGGAAACGCCAACATCAAAAGGATAAAATGTGAGTTGCATTATTCTTCATACCACCTTGCAGCCTAACTATGACAAGGTATCGCTTTTGCTTCCGATCATTTGACAAACTTCCAAATTCCTTCAGGTACTTAACGTACACGGAGTGGTCGACGTTGTACGGTGGAAGAAAATCGGGAACGAATCTGGAAACAAGCGAGGAGAAGACGTTCAGGCGGTTGCCATACGATCATTGTTGCTTATCTCTTCAGCCCTTTGAGCACCCTTATTGCGATCTGCATGGCAATGTGTTCGAGCTAGAGGCTATTTTGCAATACATAAAACAGTACAAGCACAATCCCATAACAGGAAAACCACTAGATGCCAAGAGCTTAGTCAAACTAAACTTTTATAAGAATTCCCAAAATGAATATCAGTGCCCTGTTCTTTTCAAATTGTTTACAAAACATTCGCATATTGTTGCTATTAAAACTACAGGAAATGTATTTTCTTATGAGGCGAGTATAGAAAGTATAATGTTTCTATTTTTTATTTCATTTTAGAGGCTATTTTGTTTTTTTTTTAAATCTAATCTAATATATTTGTATATAAAAGAATTATTCTTTCAGGCTGTTGAACAGTTGAATATAAAAACTGGAAATTGGAAAGATTTGATGAACGATCAGTCATTCACTCGCAAGGATATTATCACAATTCAGGATCCAAATAATGCGATGAAATTCAATCTGTCGACTTTCCATCATATTAAAAATTACATAAGAGTGGAAGACGAAGGTAGGCTTCTCATTCAAGATTCAGTTCAATAGAATGAATTTTACAATTAATATATTATAATTAATATATTAATATGTTCTATTTTTGTAAGTTATATATGTATGAATGATATTTTTCAGAGACAGTGAGAGAGAGAAATAATCCAAACGCAAAATTAAAAACTGTATCGGCAGAAACCAAGGAGATCCTGATTGAATTGGAAAGAGACTACAAGCCGGTAAAGAGTAACGAGAAAGATGAGCTCTCTACACAGAAGGCAGACAAATTTAATGCTGTTAGTACATCATTTATAAGAAACTTATATTAGCTACGCTTAGCAGAAAAAACAGCATTGCAACTGTTGTCAAATTCTTTAATATGCTTGGTTTATACATTTAGATCTAGTGAGGAACTTAGGACAAGATTCACAATTACATTAAAAAATTTTATAATAATTACAAAGCTGCTTTTCCTGCTTTTTAATTATTATGTATGTAATTATTATGAATGTAGTTATATCGAATATTGGAGAAGTCATTTTATTATTTATTTGTATATAGGCGCATTATTCCACTGGTGCGGTTGCTGCGGGATTTACTTCAACGATAATGCCGGCAGAGACTACCCATCAAGCAGCTGTGATTGCGGAAGATTTAGTGCGATACGAGAGAGTCAAAAAGAAAGGCATGTTATCGCAATTGAGTTGATCTTTACTCAAACATATATAATTCTTATTCTCACTTATCTGTTTTTTATTCAGGATATGTAAGATTTCTCACGAACTTTGGGGCTTTGAATCTAGAACTTTATTGTGATATGATTCCGAAAACCTGTGAAAACTTCATGAAACACTGCCATAATGGTTATTACGACGGCACAAAGTTTCATAGATCGATACGAAATTTTATGGTAAGTATATTGAGCGCGACGATGAACCTCTTAATTTGAATGTATTTCGAAAATTGTATTTTGCGTGTTTTTTTTCTATTTTTTCTTCTTTTATGCAGATATTTCGTTTTTTCACAGATTCAGGGCGGCGATCCGACCAATACAGGTAACGGTGGCAAATCTATTTGGGGCAAACCGTTCGAGGATGAGTTCAAGTCTAATCTGGTTCATCAAGGTAGAGGTATTCTGTCCATGGCAAACTCAGGGCCAAACACCAACGGATCCCAATTGTAAGATCAAGCAGAAAGATGAAACAAAGGATTTGCATTTTGCAATCCTGTTATTTTATTAATGTATTATTGTCGTTTCAGTTTCATCACATTTCGATCGTGCAGACACCTCGATCGCAAACACACAGTCTTTGGGAAGATCGTAGGAGGTCTGGACACGTTAAATGCGATGGAGAAGGTGGAGGTGGACAATAAGGACCGACCGATAGAGGATATAGTCATACAGGGTGTCCAAGTTTTCGTGGATCCTTTTCAGGAAGCGGATGATCAACTCACCGCGGAACGAGTTGCTGAGGCGGAACGATTGGCTCAAGAAGCGAGTCAGAACAAAAAGGACGACAAAAAGGACAAGAATGACACTCAGAAGGTCTATCGATCGGGTATAGGAAAATATGTGAAATTGGAGCAGGAGAAGTAAGATCTCTGTCGTGAATCGAGATTTGTTAGTTATTTTATTAGTTTTAATTATTTACGCGACGTTTAATCCGATTTTCAGATTGGACAAATGGGACGGGAACGCAGAGCCTTTGACAAAGAAGAAGAAGGTCTCGTCGCAATCATATGGAGATTTCTCTTCTTTCAACTTTTAATAAATTCATTGAAATAATTAGAATATCGAATGTATATAGCACATGTACATAGTCTAGTTTATTTTACGTATAACTTTTCTGGCAATTTGCCGTAAAGCCTCTGGCATATTCAAGTTGTTATCTTTTGAAGAGCCAAAATACGGAAATCAAACATAATTGCTGATGGAAAATGGTAAGGAATTTTGAATATTATGTTACATATATAAATATGCGATTCCTTCGATTGTTAAAAATACAATCCTTAAAAATAAAATTGCAAATTTTTATCACTGAGAGATTGAATAAAGAATATGTATTAATTAAGAACACTCATTTCTTATTGGAAAAATGCGCATATATTTTAATTTTGAGTTGAATTTTGGTTTAGATTTGCATTTAATTTAATTAAGATGTTTCATGCTGGATTACTCGATTAAAATATCTAATACTTTCTATCCAGTAGATTAACTTTAATTTTGGTTTAATAAGTTTAATATTTGATTTAATTTACTCTTTGTCCTTTTATTTAAAGAGGTAAGGATAAAACACACATGTTAATATTTATATGTTAATATTTATGCTAAACTCCATATGTGAAAGTTAACATTCTGTTTTTATTGAGCAAATACATTTTTATAGATTATTTATTTTATTTGATATTAGTGTTATAAACAAAAATTTAAAAAATAATGAAAATCTAAATTTTTTTAATATAAAGATTTTAATTACTAAAAATGATTTATGCAAAGTTTCATTGAGATTCACCAATTAGTTTATAACAAATATTTTGTTTATTTACTGAACAAATTAATGTCTGCATCTCAATGTAACTTTATATAAATATTTTTGAATTCATAAAGTACTATTAAAAAATTAAAACTTTTATCATTATTTTATAATAAAAAATAAACAATTTTTAAAATATTACTTTTTATTGAAATAATTTTTTATTGATCCAGATGGTTAACTCTAATTGTTTTGTGTTACTTTTAAATGCAATTTAAAATAATCTGTAATTTTTTCAAGTAATTCTTAACATATTGCATTTGCCTTACAACTTCCTTAAAACTAAAAAGGATAAAAGAATTAAAAAAGATAAAAAGAACATAATTCTTAGGAGTCGAAGCAAAAAGTAAAACTAAGATTAAAGTTCATTTATATTAGTAAAAACGAGCATAAATCTCATATCTATATATCAATGTAGATTTATAAATTTAACCGAGATTACAGTTAATTTATATTGCATAATTCGTACTTTTTTATATTTCTGAGCAAAAATCTGTGATCATCAGGTATGTTTAGGGGTTCCGTGATACCTAGAGCGGCTACTGGTCCGGTCGAGGACCGGAGCCTCCATGTTTGACGTTTGCGGCGCGCGGGCGTGCGAGTCGGAGTGGAGCGAGTTGTCCAGCGCACGACGGTGACAAGGGCCGTGTTCTCTCGGCGATCGGCACGACCTGTTCGGGTGGGTGGAGGTGGTCGCGGTACTCCGGAGTTTCGTGGGACGGTGATCCCGGCTCGCATCATGGACGATCTAGGTGAGTAAAACTTGGAAAAGCTGGAAAATTCCGGCCAGACGCCGAGTTAACCTCTCATAGGCGCACCTAGCCTGTCATAAGGATGACGCGGGGATGCTGCTACTCGTCGATCCGTGAGAGGATCACGTTGGCAGACGCATCGCCGAGTATCGATGAAACCGGATCTCTTTCGTCAAGTGACACTTAAAAGATGTTTTCATTCGGGCCTGTCAAAGGCGATTACTGGAATCGAGGTTACGTTTTCTTTTCTTTTTTTTTATCGAAGATCTCGGCACTCTTTGAGGTGTATTTGTTTGCGTTCGCCAAGCACGTTGATACCTGTCAGCATTCTGGAGCGCGTTTGGTACCGTTACGCTGTCATCAAGAACATTGACAGTTTGAGATGCATTTCTTTTTACGTCTTTCAGGAATGTTGGAATTTATTGATACAAAGACCTCCTTAAGTGTTTAGTGAAGATATCATTGCTTTGAAACCTGTGTCTTCGAGATTAGAAGACTTATATTGTCGTCTAGCAATGAATATCGCTGTATTTTTTATCACATAATATTTAGAGTCGCAAAAAAAATACAAGAAATCGTTTTAAATTAATTTACAGGAAAGAATGATTTTGCTGAAGTAGATATAGATTTGAAAGTAATTTTATTAAACCATCGAAAAAATTAGTATGTAAGACAGATATGATTAAAAAATAATTTTGTTAAATTATCAAAATAATTATGTAGGACGCTCAAATATAATGAGTGATGCTGCAATAAGTTTTGACATTTTAATAATCAATTTAAATATTCTACATGATTATTTTGATGGCCCAGCAAAATTATTTTTGGATCTATATATTTAGCTAAATTTTTATATACTTTGGCAAAATTATTTTTTCCATGTATAATATAATTAGAAATAATTATATTAAAAGTT